TTTCTTGAGCACATATCAGCCCTTCTTGCAATGCTGGCACTGTTAGGCTGTGTAACATCATAAATCTGATCCAAAGGAATTTTAGAAGATTCTTTGTGTATTTTCAAGCAATGTTTCTACTGTGTTATTGACTGCTAAGGTTCAATTATTGGTACAAGAGGAGAAGTCAAGTGATTTTTATGTGAAAAAGTCACTCCTTTTCACTATCCTCACAAGAAATGGAATTGAATTCTATTCCATGCATAATTGTACTACACAGATGTGCCTTGAGACATAATAGTTTTGCCTCTATAGATTAAGTACATGTATTTATCTGCTGTTGTTCAGTCTGCCTTGACTGTTTTGACCACCTCTCTGAGTATGTGAATCTTTTTTCTTTTACTGAATTTTGTTTAAGAGAAGACTGATTGGACAAATGAAGTTAATTTGTTGATACTGGTTGACTATCTAAACTTTGCACTGTCAAGTTTATAATTAGAGGACTTTGGTCGAAGTTTGAAGAAGCTTAGGATGTCATCAATGGAGAGATGAATTCTTATTAGTTGCAGTGCAGGAATACTAACTAAATCTTCACAGAATTGGAGAAGCACTCTTGAATGATGTTTTTGGTCCTTCAGAAACACTGCTTCTGCCATCAACATGGCTGGCTGTCTGAAGAGGCTTCTGAAGCACTGCAACTTCCTCAAATTTGCTACCTAATGCAATGGAAATCCAAATCCCCACAAGCACTTTCATTACTCTGAATTTTGACTCTTTTTGGACCTCGCATTGTTGCTTTTATTAAAAGATAAAGCAGACTTTTTTTGGGAACATAATCCAGCTTGATCCTTCTTTTTCCTCCATGACTGGTCAAGAGATGAACAGAATCACAAAAGAAAATAACACCTCTCAGAGTGAAATCTGTTGTGTTCTGCTCACTGTCACATCCTTTCCTAGCCTCTTCCAAACATATTAATCAGTGCTCAAATTTGACTTCCATGTTAAGACAGCTTCCATCTCAGATCAAATGTCTTCATGTATGCTGGTTGTCTTGCAAGCAGAATCCATCAATATCAGAGCTTTTAACTGTAAGAAAAACTACATATATATATATATATATATATATATATATATATATATATATATATATATATATATATATATTTAAAGCATTGCTATGAGGGGGTAATGCAGGGAAATCAAATTGTTCATGCTTAGTTGATCTTTATCTCTTCCTGTATAGGCTGAACAGTACATCCTGACAATTACAATTAGGAGTCCATTATAAGCAACTTGGATGCATTTAAAGAAATCAAAGTCAAACATGCAAAGTAGCTGACCATGACTTGAAATGCTCTCTCTTGTCTTATTGCTAACCAATGTATGAAGCTCCTACCGACACAAGTAAAGATGTTACTCCTAAGATCAGATCGCAAAAGAGCAACTTTATCGTAGAAACCTTGTTCTGGTTTCTCTCTATCTTTCTAATTATAAATGACAGCTACAGTTTCAAAATCTTCAGCCAAATTAACTGAGAAATTGTGTTATTTGGTGAGCTGACAGTACTTGAATCTGATTTCACTGCACACAAGCTCCAGTTCTGCAGGCTGCCATTAAACCATCTTGCCCAAAGTTGCTCAAAGTCATTAACTGCGTAGTAATCAACACCTATCAAGTTCTTAAAGCATTTCATGTTGTGTGATGGGTTTTGCTGACTACATCCACCACCTGAGGTACTGAAGTTGAGAACACAAGGCCAGTAAATGTATACATCTTTCTATGAATACGAAGAAGAGATCAAAAGAAACGACAAAAATGATCGATTTCCTTTTTCTTTTTTGGCTCCGTAGAATATATCTAAATATGTATGTATGTATGCATGTGTATCACGTAAGAGTGTTCTCGAGAAGAGATGCCTGAGCAAGAAGAGATGGGAGCAGTGAGATCAGCCATGGCGTGGGCTGCGACATTAAACTGTCAATGGATATAACTTCACACCATTAAATATGTGTTGAAGCCCCAACGACCACAGATTGGCACCTCAATTCATTGAGCACTGCCCATCGTACAGTCATGATATGTGGAAGCTCCTGCACGCCATATTTGTTCCTTCTTCATTAGCCTTTGCCCATTTACTACGTCTTGGTGGCTGCGGTGGTGAGCCTGCATTTCTCGATAAGTATTTATTAACCTCTCTCTCTCTCTCTCTCTCTCTCTCTCTCTCAGATGTCTTCTTTGCTTCATCGTGAGAATTTGGGTTGAGCAAGGCCATGAATGCCCACCAAGAAGAAGCAGTTCATAAATTTCGCGGGAGTTTAATGCTTGAGGTGGTATTTATAGGGATTCTGGTGCCATGTAAGGTGTATGAGAGATCGATCTACACGATGCTTTCATATCATCCGAAGTTTTCTTGGACCAATGGCACTAAATAAGATCGACAAACTGCTTTCATGTAGCGATGAGAATCAACCAGGAACTTGGCATCGTGCATGGCTTATGTTGATGTGACCAAACACCAACCATGCGCTTTGTTATTGCTGTGGATTAGCGTCTAAGTACACTGTTACAATAACTATTGAATGATTGCAAACTGCCAACTTAATGGGGTCACGAAGCGACTGTTACTCTCATCAACATGAACAGTCGTGGTGGATGGAAGGATGCCAACATTTTAATGGGATCATTAGCGGAGAAAAATGATGTTAGGATCACATGGAATGATGTGTTTAACATTAACATGGTTGACCAACTACATTCAGCAGCATCGCTCGTTCAAGCAAGGGAGGATTTAAACGGTGGTATTTGAGGCATTTAAGGTCACTCTACTCATCAACTTTAAATGCAAGGCCTGTGCTCCTTTTAATGGGGTTGGATGAAGTCTATTTAAGAACCCTCTTTAAGTATCAACCCTCTCCTTCCTCCTGCATGACCACATCAATCTAAAAGGGAGAGAAGCCTCAGCTTTTCTCTTCACTAAAGCTTTGCTCTCTCTCTCTCTCTCTCTCTCTCTCTGTACACACCTCGTCTCCTTTATCATAGCCTTCTTCTTTCCTTTGTGTGTATACATGTTCCATTTGGGTGCAGGAAAGAAGGCCTGGTGCTCGATTCGAGTGAGCTATGGATCAGATGGAGCTTTCCCTAGGAGGGTCGTCCCTGTCACTCTTAAGTGAGAGCACCAATAGCTCACCTACAAGGTCGGAGGCCAACCCTAGGAGGAAGAGGAAGCAAACTTGGGATGACCCTACGATTCACACGAGTATTGACCTCCAGCTCAATGATCCCTTGCCCCTGGATTGGGAGCAGTGCTTGGACCTACAAGTGATCACCTCTCTCTCTCTCTCGCTCTCTAGTGCAACTACTACTGTCTTAGTACCATCCTTAAAGCTTGTGAAAAGAATACATGAAGATCTTGGAGTGTGATTCATAGTCTTGCAATTTTGCTGCTTCAACCACTCATTCTCTGCATCATGCATTGTGGTTATAATCAAACACTTTGATTATGGTTTTGTCGTATGGATTGTTTAATTCCCTTCTGTTGACCTGACAACAATCTTGTAGCAGTCCGGAAGGATTTACTTCTTGAACAGAAAGACCTTGAGAAAGAGCTGGAGCAGACCCAAGGAGCAAAAGCTAGACCTGGAGCTCAACATCGCCACCTTCGCAAGCTCAGAAAATAAGACTACCTCCGCTAGTCCAGAGAAGCCAACCAAGTCTTCTTCATCCGGCAACATGGTCGCAGCCGTGTGCGTGAACTGCCACCTCCTCGTCATGCTGTGCAAGTCATCTCCTTCTTGCCCAAACTGCAAGCATAACTCACTGCCTCCACCAGCACAACCGATATCCGGCAAGCTCGAGACGGTCAAGTCATTGGAGACTCTCAGCCTTCTTCACTAGTCAGCGCACTCGCAGACGAACCAAAGAACCCTTCTAAGAAGCTTTCTCTCTCTATATAGTTAGCGTTATAGATTGAATGACCGAGAGAAAGAGAAGCAGCAATGTACGTAGTAGCAGTATGTTCATTTATAAGCTTTTACTGTATGCAGTGTGTGTTGCACAGTGTAATGGCAGTGTTAAGTGTAGTAGATGAAGGGCATGAATGCCACCTGCTCTCGTCATACATTCTATTCCCTTCTCTTTCTCCTGTTTCAATTCCACATGGGATTAAAACTTACTGATGGAGTAATAATTTTGGGCACCGGGAAAACTGGCACTCACTGCCAAGGAAAGGAGGAGCAATCCCAAGTATGGAACACCAACCCATGCTGATGCCTACCTGAGACCTGAGGGTGTGTGCAACTCCCTAGTACTTACTGCCTTTTATCATATCAAACCAAGCTAAAGCTGGTAACAAGTTGATTTGTTCTCGGCAAAATGGATCGACTAAATGAAGCCATCAGCAAAACAGAGTGAACTCTGGCAAAAGTGGACGTGGAAAAGACTCCACTAGTCCACCCAGAGTCCTCGGTTCCTGTAGTGCCTAACCAAATCAGAGCACCTCCACATGCCAAGGCATTTGATTCCACTGGAATATTGTGTGACATCAATCAAATATTCCTCCGAAGGAATCGGCTCGGGTGTTTGATTCGTGTGAGATTAATTAATCGTGTGTAGTTCCACGATTGCTGGACCTGTCTTCCTTTTCATCATCCTCATGGCAATTGAACCTGGCACTCACCCCCCACTTCCTCTTCCTTCAACATGCATGGCTGCTGATGCTGCACTACTGCTGCAAGTGATTCATGCATGGCCTGTAGAAAGATGCTCTCTCTGTGTGAAGGAATCTCAATCGTGGGTGGCGGCCGACCACAACTCCATTTCCTTCGACGGCAAGAAGTAGAGCCCGGTTTAGTCTCTCACTGCATTAGAAAAAGAGAAGCTTTACTCAGCATGTGTTGCAGACATGACCTTTAAAGTAGATCTCATGGCATCAGAAAATGAGCACAGAAGAAAGCAGCCTTAGGAAGTTCTATTTTGTGTGTTACGTCATTCCATCTTCTCCTCCAAACCGGAAAGGTGAGAGCAAGGATAACGAAGTATCAAGAGAAGATGCTTGTGAAATGAGGGATGTCCTTGTCTTCTGCAAGCAAAGCATCCAAGCAATGTGGACGGAAATGGGATTCCTTCCTCGTAACAAGCAATTAGATCACAGTGACTTGGTAGAGATTCCATCTGAGGTATGCAGCATCAGTTGCAGTTCCATGCAAGTGATCATGCTTCCCTCCTCACCAGTTAATCCTCTGGTTTTTGTGCTCTCTCACATGTTCATTTCCAAGCACCACAGCCTACAACTGTTTGATGCCTACCAAATGCTTTCCGCCCTTCCAATATGCCAACTTACTATATGCTAAGTCTCCACGAGCATCTTCCAAGTGCAGCTAGTGGGATTCTGATCACCTCTAAACCCCACAACCAAACCCTATAAATTCACCACCTTATTCCCTTACAAGTATCAGATCATTAAGAACATAAAAAAGGATCTTATTAAGTAGATGTCGGATTTCAGCGCGACAAAGTTCGGCCGATGCTGGTCGTCTCTTGAGTTCGGCAAGCAGCCTCAGCGGAATCAGGTTGTCAGTGAGACGGTGCACGGCGCCCAGCTCGCCGCCGCCGCGCAGTCTGCGAACTGTGTAACCTGCGTCGAGGGGAACAAGGTCTGCAAGTGTGGGAAAGATACTGAAGTCTTGAACTTGCAGAGTGAACACCATGCAAAGGCTACCAGCTCCTTCACTCACTCGGTGATCAATATGATCGGGATGCTAATAGGTACTCTGCTCTTTTGGCATGGCTCTGCTCTTTTTCATGGTTCCTCATCCATGAGTCTCTTGATGCAGGACTTGGTCAGCTGTCTACTCCATATGCTTTGGAGAATGGAGGGTGGAGCTCGGTGTTCCTGCTGGTGGGGCTTGGAGTTATGTGTGCCTACACCTCACATATCATAGGGAAGTGCCTCGAAGAGGATTCCAGCTCCAAGACCTACCAAGACATCGGGCAGCAAGCTTTTGGGGCGAAAGGAAGGATCATAGCTTCCACCCTCATCTACTTGGAGATCTTCTTCGCCCTCGTATCCTACACCATCTCGCTGAGCGATAACCTGCCCTTGGTGCTCTCCGGCGTGCATGCCCATATTTCATGGCTGCCTCTGTCGGCGTCGCAGCTGCTGACAGTCGTCGCGGTGCTGGTTGCGCTCCCCACCCTCTGGCTGAGGGACCTGTCTTCCATCTCCTTCCTCTCCTTTGGTGGAATCGTCATGTCGCTCCTCATCTTCGTCACCATCGCCTGCACCGCAGCGTTCGGCGGTGTGAGGGGGAACCACAGCATCCCTCTGCTTCAGCTTCGCAAGATCCCAGGGATCTCTGGGCTCTACATCTTCAGCTACGCCGGTCATATCGTCTTCCCTAACATATACACCGCCATGAAGGACCCTTCCAAGTTCACCAAGGTAGCATATTCTACACCAGAGCTCAAACTAAGATGTGAGTTCAGGGCTCATGATCATGTGTTCCGCTGCGTTCCCAAAATTGCAGGTTTCCATCGCGAGCTTCACCACCGTCACCATGCTCTACACCGCTCTCGCCTTCATGGGCGCCAAGCTTTTCGGGCCGGCCGTCAGCTCGCAGATCACCCTCAGCATGCCTCCCCACCTCATCGCCACCAAGATCGCGCTGTGGGCGACGGTGCTGACGCCGATGACCAAGTACGCCCTCGAGTTCTCTCCCTTCGCCAGCCAACTCGAGCACAAGCTTCCTTCCACCATGAGCTCCAGGGCGCGGATGGTGATAAGGGGCAGCGTGGGCTCCATCCTGCTGCTGGTGATCCTGGCGCTGGCCCTCTCCCTCCCTTACTTTGAGCACGTCCTCAGCCTCACCGGCTCCCTCGTGAGCATAGCCATTTCGCTGATCTTCCCCTGTGCCTTCTACCTTAAGATCTGCTGGCCTCAGGTCTCCAAGCCCACGGTTGTCCTCAACGGAGTACTAATAGTCCTCGGAGCTCTCCTGGGCGTGGTGGGAACGATCTCTTCTTCCAAGGCACTCATCCAAAGCATTCAGAGAGGCCATTCACTTTGAGCTTGCGAACTGTTGTTCTATCTACCAATCAACATGAAGAGTGCTATGCATGAAGCTTCATCGTCTGTTCGGGCCAATTATATGATTATGATGATGATGATGGTATAAATACAAATACTCCAATTTCCTGGAAAGAAGAGACAAATTGTTCCTGCTATGGGAATAAGAATTCGACATTGGAATTAACAGATGCATCATGTGCTTGTCTTGTCATGATAAGCTGGCCTTCCTATCATTTCATCCTTTGGTTTCAATGAGGTATATAGCAAAAAGGTCATGTGACTGTGAAGTACTTTTGCGACATGTTTCCTTTCTTTTGGGAAAGAGCATATCATCATATCATTCGACTTTCCCCCGCTTCCTTTTGGTGGGTCCCACCTCCATCGCATACTATTTATGATCTACCTTCATATATATGCTTGGATATATATATATATTACAAATGGTACGTGTGAGAAATCAAAGTAGGAGACACATCCGCGCATGACACACACCGTCGAGCTCTACCTGTCTCGGTGGACTCAGGTACGACGGTGTGGCCTGCACCGGCCAGCTGAATCCTGGGAGTGGGGGAGGGGAGTCGTCCGTGTTCTCTGACGCCGCTGCGACAGCGGTTGCGCCGTCAAAAAGACCGACCGCGTAACGCTGTTTCCTTCCTCTGACCGTTTGCGGACGGCGTTGCCCTCAAGGCACGTGTTGCTTGTGACGGCGGCGTTGGCACTCGGGTCGTCGAGATTCGTGCATCACGCGACGCATGATTAACTCGTGACGGACTTTCCAAGATTCGCAAGATCTCGGGTCAAAATCAAGACCAACATTTTGTGCGCGCAATACGAACAAACATGTACGCATTCATATATATACATACACACAAATGAAAGGGAATTGTGGGACCTTCCTCGAGCAGCGGGGAACACCAGCGATCCGCGCAGGGTGTCGTGGGGCACACCGACCACGAACCAGTCGCGTTGCTTCCCGAACCCCCGCGCGTGTTTTGGACTTGAGATGGGATTTAACATGGAATTAGGCCTCTCTCTTGTAGTGACATGAACGCATATATCTTCTTTTATATCCTCCGCATGCATGTGTCACTTGCGGCTGCTGCGCGTCTGCCCTCCGACTCACGGTGATGAGACGCATGATTACCTCGTGAGAGTTGATGAGATCCTAGAGATCGACGCAGCCCTGTATCGGGTCATGACCAAGGTTTGATTTCGTGATAGAAACCGGAACGAAAACCATGTGACCATGACACACATGCATGCCTACACCATAGGGGCAAGGAGGGATGCTCTTAAGTCATATCAGAGAAATCGTATAGTTCCTAATCGGATTCAGTACATCATTAATATTAAATATTTTAGATGAATATATTTTAGTTCCTCCGTGTTTTCAACTCTCGATCGCTTGATAAAGTGAGTTTGGTATACTAACACTCGCAGTCAGAGTATAAGAAGGTTTTGAACCCTCATAAATGGGTTTAATATACCATCATTAGATTAATATATATGTATAGAATTATTAACCTCTCTCTCTCTCTCTCTCTCTCTCTCTCTCTAATATAAGGACAGTTGCAACCTAAGCACAACTCAGAGTGGGTGTCGTTGCCATCAAAAGGTGGTGGTGGGAGTGAAGGAAGCAACAGTGGCTACGATCTAATGTTCAAACTTTCTTCACCAACATCACCATCTCCTTTTTTGACTTCATCTCCTGTCTCGCTTCACCCAATAAGTGCTGTGCCATTAATTCGGGCCGTGGGTTTGACCTTCGCCCACCCCCCGTCACTCGATTTAGCGACGTCATGATCCGAGTACGTAAAACACGTCGTCGAGTGTTGGAATGGTCAACCCCTGCCATCCCATTTCGCGTGTTGTCATGCGGTCGGTATCCCCCAACATCGTTGTATTCGTCTCTATATCTGTCTACGTTAATGCTTCGTCTACGCCAGAGTCTCAAGTCACTGGCCCATTGGAGATCGCCTATTGGCTCACGAAGTGGTGGCCCAACCCTTGCATGCCTCCCCGCTTCCACAACTCTCACTTTCCTACCGCTCTCTGGGAAACAAATCATTCTGCTTCCTCGAAACCAAGTTCATCTATACGTATTAATAGAGAGAGAGAGAGAGAGAGAGAGATGCACAAGGTGGTATACTGAAGCTGGGAACGTGAGTTGCATGCACGAGCACATCGGTCAAGGTAGAAAGTTGACGAAGTTAAACGTGATTACTCTGTGGGAAGAAAGTGTCGATGAGCACACTTAGTGCCCACTTCTCAGGAACTATGTAGAACAAAGCATGAGAAATGGGGCATCAATCAAACTAAGTAGTCATAAATCTCGGAATTCACAGGTAAAGTCTTAACATTTATAGCATCAGACCATGAGGAACATACAACAGTGCCGCAATGCTGTTTCATGTGCATGGCGGCTTCTGTCATGGAGCACAGGTCGACAGCACATGGCTTTGTTCTTTTTGTTAAAGAACTGTGAATAGAAATTCCATCGCAATGACGGATAAATGAGGGTGTTGAATTCTGGGGTACCGATTTGGAGGAGAAAGATCCAAGAAAACCTAACAAATCAAATTGTTATATTTGCACACAAGTCATGCTTATTGTAAGTCAAGTTCAAAAGTTTTAGATCGTCTATGCTATGATATTTCAAAAGCTTGAGATTGAATATAGGCAATGGAAGACTCGTGGTATGAAAACATGGACCTCAAGTCCGATGACCCGTACATCGATCCATCTTTTCTTCTTTGCTGAGTAAGAAATCACCACTTAGAATGAGTGGAAAGCACGACCAAATGACCAAAAAATAAAAGGATTGAACAGATACTGAGAGAGACAAATTGTGACACTCAACATTAATGTGAATATACTACACAGACTTGCAGTGTTCATCTATATCTCTATCAAAAATGAAGGGATTTTTTTTTCTGTTCATGTACACAACGTATCAAAGAATGTGTGTGTAATTGATCATACACGCCTCCTAGACCTATCAAATATTCTAGGGTTAGTGTTTGGGGGGGGGTCATCTTCTCTACATGGTTGATCCATGGCTTCGCCAGTCCTCAGATTCCTAAAGACTGCACCAGGTTGCCAACCTGCATCGCCGCGTCTTGCCACCGCCATGCGTCGAAGCTTTGGTGGCTTAGAAACTTCATTGCCTTGCTTACAAGGTCGGCGCCGTTCTTCTTCACCTCCGCCACCTTCGGGCACTTCAGCAGCCCTATGTAGGCATCCAAGTCGTGGACGCACACCGGGTTCTGCATCTTGAAGAAGTCGAGGGCGAGCTCCACTCCTACGTGGGCGTAGCAGGAGCTGCTCCATGGCAGCTCGTATCTCTCCGCCAGGACCTTGAAGTTCTCGTTGAGGAAGACGCCGGGGAGCTTGGTGACCGGATCGTTCACGTTCACCACCCTCAGGACCTTCACCCCGAGCTCCTCGCAGCGCTCCTTGAACTCCGAGTTCCCCACCCGGGGGCCGCCGAAGGAGTACACCGTGATGGGCACCTCCCGCCGCGACCCGTCGCGGTTCAAGCCGAGTTCGGCGAGGTCGTACCCGAGGAGCAGAGCCAGCGAGCTTCCCATGCTGTGCCCCGCCAATGTGATGCTTAGCTCCTCGTCCTTGTACTTGTTGATGAGCCGGGAGACCTCGGAGAGCAGCTGCTCCCTGCAGCTGCCGCTGCTGAACTTGCTGCTGCTGTCGTCGGAAGTGTAGAGGCTGAGGAAGCCGGACTCGACCTTGACATCGGGGCGGGGGTCGTGGGGGTCCAGCCGCGCCGCCGTCAGTGAGCTCATCAAATTGGCGATCCACTCGGTGTTGGTGACGGTCCCTCGGAAGGAGACCAGAATGTCCCGCCGCCCCAGCCGGCGCACCGCCTCGTCGGAAGACACCGCGACGTACCCGATCCACCGGCTGCAGCACGTGCCGGTCTGCGTGGGGATGCTAATGTCCGGCGTCGCGTACACGTACTTGGTGACCTCGTACCCCGCATCCGCCATGCCCACCTCCCGCAGCATGCTCTTCTTCCCGTACTTGCAGTTTAGATACCGCTTCGAGGCAGGTTCGAGGTCGAACGCCTTGTAGCACGCCACCACGAGCTCCCCATACCTCACGATCTCGTCGCGCAGCAGCGGGTCGAGGGGCTCCACGAGGTCCTCCCAGTCGTCGGCGCCTTGGATCTCCCGCCACACGCTGGCGAGCGAGGGCCTGCACACGGCGCTCACCGCCGAGTGCTTGACCGCCACAGCAGGCGTAGTATGCCGGGTCACCACCGCGGGTGCCGCCGCCACCGACGAGGCCGAGACCCGAGTCCGCCTCTGCGGCCGAGCTTCACGCGACAACAAAGAAGCGCTCTGTGCCGGTAAGCGCAACGCCATGCGGGGATCGCAGTCCGGAGCCGAAGGAGAGGAAGCGAGAGAGGGAAAGGAACTAGGCAGCGAGCTTCTCGCTTGGTGGAGCTGAGGAGGCGAGGTGAGTGGGGTGGGTGGGTTATATATATAGGTGGAACGCGGTTTTTGGAGGTGAGACAACGAGTTAATCGGATCCCACATCTTGTTGCTGCATCAGAAAGCGTTGAATTCCGGCGACTCTCTCTTCTCCGTAGTGGTCGGTTCGTCCGCTTTGCGGCTCAACACACCCCCAATAATTCCTTCACATACATAGGCTCAAACTTCCAACACAGCGACGGATGTATGGGCATTGGGAATGGGTTGATAGGAGACGGACGCGTGTGTGTGTGTGTGTGTGGGGCTTGAAAACGCTTGATTAGATCGATGTAAGGCTTTTTCGATGGTCAACGCGGATAAACAAGTAAAAGTGGAACGGGGTTTGATGTTAAACGTGGGACGTGGAACTTTGACGGGAGGTCAGGTGGGTTCCCTGCTCCGTCCATGCACGTCCTTTTCGTACATGCCACGGAGCATAAGACTTTTGGCTTAAGAGTACCAATCATGCGGTATTCATTTGCCCCCTCACAGTTCCTATCTCAGCTTCCGGACATGACGAAGAGATCTGCCACATCATCATCATCACACCCAGAATCCATATTATCTTATGAATCCATCGATGACTGCCAATTTGGCATCGACTCATCATATGAATATCACTCATAATAAATACTAAAATTATATCTTTTCTACGAGCACTTAATAACTCAAAAAGTGTATCAAATTATAGAGTCGACGACCAAAATTAACCCAACTTAATTTACCACAACCTTTCTCTTTTTCTTTTTTTTTTTGTATTTGATATGAAAATTTGTGGTAGTGAAATTAATTTGTTGTAGGAATGCTTTGGCGATGGCGTCACAATCACAATTGTAATAAATGAAATAATTGCTAGCTTTCACTGTACAACTGACAGAACCCATGACCAAACATTAATTATGGAGCAATATATGTGCCTTGCGAGACGAGTAAGGCAATCAATGTAAAACATGAATTGTTGTTGTCTTTGATTTCCCAACAAATGGGTCATAGTATTCTACAATATATGAAATCAGTCAACCATTTGGCAGTAGTCAACAGGCTATATAGTCTATTTTTAGGTTTCCCCCCACAAGTGTCTCCTATTTTTAGAATTTTCAAATAACACCCCCTTTTTTTACTAATATTTGAAAGACATATTTTTCTCTCATTTTCTCCTTTTTTTTATATGGACCGATCGATCCAATTAAATTTTTTTTAGTAATAAAAATATTATAATGTTGTATAAAAATATTATATTACAGTGTTTGTATACTGATCACAATATTTTTTTAGTATTGTCGAAAACAAAAACACTGTATTACAGTATTTTTGTACTATAAAGTATTTCTCTAATATTGTTGAAAGCATTGTAACAATGCAAAGACACTATAAACATAATATTTTTATATTATAATATTATAATATAATATATTTATATTATGTAATGATATTTTTCTTGTATTATTGAAAACGCTATAGCACAATGTTTTTATTAGAAAAAAAAAAGATCACTGTTTGAAAAGTTTGAAAATGAGAAGATGTTTTCGTCCTGTAAGATAAAACCTCATCTCATATTAGTTAAGCATAGATATATCTCGTGACAATGACACGAACTCAACTATATAGGACCAGTTTCGTTGTTGTTTTAATGTCATTAAACTCTATTGAGGCCACACGTCGCTCACTCGTGGATGACCACATACTTAAATATTAGTGGTTGACTTCATCGGGTCTTCTTCATCATATTACTAGTCAAACTAGGGATTATATTTTTCTTCATATCTATTATTTTCTTTTGTAAATCACTTTCTACCATTTCTAAGTAATATCATACGAAGCTTCTCCTGCGTGGAATCCATGTGGTTGAGTTTCTAAGTAACGTTAATGATGTCTAACATAGAAAATTGCATTCGATGTTTGAGATTACACTCATATATATGGAAGATATCACAGCTGATAGCAGCCGATAACTACGTTTTGACGTAATCTTTGACTACTCAAATTCTGCCTTAACTTCGGCCGTACGAAGAACAGGAGTGCAGAAAGCTGTCACATGTACGAAGGGAGACAAGACGAGAGATCCACATCGATCCAAGTGAAGGCAAGGGAGAGATGATGAGGTGGTAGATTTGGCTTCACAAAGGCCGGAGTGTACCGACTCCATCTATAAGAATCTGCATGGATGGGGCCATCAAACAACATGTTCGACGAGATCACAGTCAAAGGACCGGATAGAACGATTAGGATAATCTATGTCTGCTTTCATATCGAAAGTCAATGCGATGGCTGGTTGCAAGATGTATGGAAGACTTCTGAGGTCGAAGAGGGAAAGTCAACGCAGGGAGAGTAAAATACTTTCTTCATCCGCGTTTCACACGATGCCGGTAGTCAACTGAGCTATACATGTTGCATGCCTCGTCTACATATGTTAATCTACACGCAGTCAACCCTTGATTACCTTCCTGAGAAAAGTCATTGAAAGTGCTCACTTTGTTCGATCGATGAATGGCGGAAGCTGTGGTTATGTTCACATATCGAGGCCAATGATGCAGCACAGCGTTGAGGCTGTATGTGTTGACGGACAGATCGATAGATAGATAGATAGATAGATAGATAAAGACAGAGAAAGAGAGAGAGAGCAGTCTTCATTTGTTCTCTTAGCAATGGATGACAGCCAAAGTTCACATCTATGGCGTGTATAGATTTGAGTGCGCCACCGTTTTGTTCGTTTGCTGCTTCCCTCGTTTGGCTGCAGCAGTCAAAGGTTTTCCACGGAGGAAGCAAAAATTGGTACGATTGTGAATATATTAATATTTTTAATATATAGATGAAATACTTCGAGTGATTGACAAATAATAAATAAAAATTATATTATTTTAAATATATCTTGATATAAATATTGTTTGCTAAAATTATATTTCAAAAATCCATTAAATATTTTATGATAAATTTATGCTTCTAATATTTTAAATATTATTCATAAGTAAATATATAAATTTTTTATTTACATTTATTAATAATTAATTAAATGTAAATATAATCATATAAATAACTATAAAATAATTTTTAAAATAAATAAATAAAATTTCGTCTTATGAAAAATATAAATCATGTTAGTTTATCACTAAATTATTTTGATAATCTTATAATTATAAATAAAATTATAAGATATTTTTAAATTAAAAAAATATATTAGCATCTCATAAATGTTAAAATGCTGATATCAGCATCTAAGTATTTTTCAATGCAGCATTCAGGTCAAATACGATTTGAAAAAAAAATTAAAATTTAATTTATATTTGAAATATGTATTGAATTATAAATACACATTTCAAGTTTATTCCTAAAATTATTTGAGTCCATTGTCTGGTGAAGACAACCGATAGAGAAGAAGACATGACTCGGCTGCGTACGTGTTTCCTACGTCCTGTGTGGTTCACATTTGTAGAATTGGGGCATATAATCCAACTAGAGACTGATAGTTTTTGAACTCTTTTTTGTTATATGTTGGAATGAGAAGAGAGAGAGAGAGAGAGAGAGAGAGAGAGAGAGAGAGAGAAGAAAGAAGAAGA